CACGCTTCATAGATAGTCTAGAATTTACTACAAACAAGGGCTAAAAAATAAATAATACACTGTTTTTAAAATAAGTAAATGAAACAGGATGAAGGGATAGAGGGAGATGCCGGGGCCTGCAGACGTCTGCAGGACTACCTCGGAATCTCCGACTGGATTGAAGGCAGCCACCCAAGCTAAGGTCCGAATGTTGCTGCTCCGGGATCTGCACACAGTGCAGAGTGTAGTATCAGCACAACCGACTCCATGTGTTGGTAAGTGCCTAGCCTAACCTCGGCAAAATAGTGACGAGGCTAGGACCAGACTACCAAATAAACATGTGCAGTTATATCATATACAGCGAAAAAATAAAATAGAAATACACAAATAAGGGTGGGAGGGGGGCATGCTGCGGGGGAATATCATCTACCTACAGTAACTGGGGAGAAAAACATAAAGAACAATAAATCAATAAGCACTTTTTATCATTCATTATTGTGGCGTGCAACCCGATCCAAATCATGAAACGCTGTTGTGATGTGCAATCCGATTCATATCATTTATCACTGTTGCGGCGTGCAACCCAATCCAATTATAATGTTATTGCGGCGTGCAACCCAATCCAAATATAATATTGTTGCGGCATGCAACCCGATCCAAATATAATATTTTTGCGGCGTGCAACCCGATCCAAATATAATACTGTTGCGGTGTGCGATCCGATCCAAATATAATTCAACACCAATCACAAAAAGAGTCCCGACAAGGGAACAATAAGGAAACAACACTATCCAGGCAAGGGAACCGACTATATAAGAAAATACGTCCCGGCAAGGGAGTCAGCTATAACCAAACTTATTCCAACATTTAACTTCACAAAGAAACCTCAATTAGCATCAATACTCAACCATAAGCAACTTTCACGAGAATACTCATAATTCTTGCCCAACACAGAAAGTCAACAACTTAGGCATTCGTAGTACTTATTAAGAACACAACGATTTTAATTTAAGACTCACGGGCATGCTTGACACCAACGTATAGATACTCGTCATCATGCCTATATGTCGTACTCAACAAGTAACACATAGCAAATAGGACACAACTCCTAATCCCTCAAGCTAAGGTTAGACCAAACACTTACCTCGATGGCACGAACACAATTCAAGTCTCAACTATCGCTTTACCTCTTGATTTCACCACCAATTTGCTCGTATCTAGCCACAAGTTACTTAATTACATCAATAAATGCTAACTGAATCAATTCTAATGCATGAAAATAAGTTTTCTAAATTTTTTCCCAAAAAGTCAAAAAATGCTCCCATGCCCACACGGTCAAAACCCGAGGTTCGAACCAAAACCCGATTACCTGTTCCCCCACGAACCCAAATATATAATTTGTTTTGAAATCGAACCTCAAATCGAGGTCCAAATCCCAGAAATTTGAAAAACCTAGGTTCTAACGAAAACACCTAATTTTTCCCATGAAAACCTTTGATTTTGAGTTGAAATCATGTGAAAAGATGTTAATGATTGAAGAAAACGAGTTAGAAATAACTTACAATTAATTTGGAGAAGAAATTTTCTTTGGAAAATCGCCCAATAGAGTTTATGTTTTGAGAAGATATGAAAAATGATTGAAAATGCGTCTAAGTGTGAATTTACAGGTCTTATGCGAACCCCTCAGAAAACTGACACTTTCGCATTTGCGAAGGAAATGTCGCATTTGCGACCCAGTCAAATTTCTGGTCATCTTCGCATTTGCGAGAGAGCATTAGCAAATGCGAAATCGCATTTGCAATAGAACAGTCGCATTTGCAACTAAGGCTGCCCATGTCCATCTTCGCATTTGCGAGGCTTTGTCGCATTTGCGAAGCCTGCAGACCTGATCATACCAGTTGAAAAACCTGCAATTCCTAATTTAAAATTCCACTCTGTGGCCTATCCAAAACTCACCTGAGCCCTCGGGGCTCCAAACCAAACATATACACCAGCCTAAAAACATCATACGGACTTGCTCGTGCATTCAAATCACCATAATAACATCAACATCTATGAATTTAGCATCAAAATCATGAAATCACTTAAGAATATCAATTTTTTTTCTAATTTTCTCAAATAAGGTCTGATTCTCGTCATTTCAAGTTCGTTTCTTACCAAATTTCACAGGCTCAACTTAAATCACATATAAGACATATACCAGGCTCCGGAACCAGAATACGGGCCCGATACCATCAAGTTTCAATCACATTTTATTTCCAAAACTCATAAATAATTTCAGAAAATAATTTTCTTTAAAAACTCATTTCTCGGGCTTGGGATCTCGAAATTAGATTCCGGGCATACGCCCAAGTCCCATATTTTCCTACAGACCCTCTGGGATCGTCAAATCACGGGCCTAGGTCCGTTTACCTAAAATGTTGACCGAAGTCAACTTAAATTCATTTTAAAAACAAAATTCATTATTTTTTACAGATTTTCACATAATGGCTTTCCGATTACGCGCCTGGACTGCGCACGCAAATCGAAGTGAGACCGAAAGAGGTTTTTAAGGCCTCGAAATACATAATTTATTTTTAAAACAAGTAATGACCCACATTTAGTGACCTAATACTGAAAACACAATGTAAAAGAGAATAAAAAAGTTGGTCTTATAGCTCCCAAAAAATTAATATTGAAAATATAAAATCTAAAAATGACTACCGTTGAATTAATCTTATAATAAATAATTTAATAAAAAAAATAGTGAGGCATCATCATGTGTTGGACTAAATGCAAGAAAAGGAAAAAATGACAAGTTATTTACAATACATTTTTTCCCTACCATTTCATCCTTAAATTCTTAAAAACTACATATGATTTATTAGTATAATTTTGATATATAAATTCCAATATTTTATTTATGCTCACTTATTTGATTTCCAGACCTCACTTTGTGAAATTTTACTGGATCGTTGTTGTTGCTCACTTATCTGATTGGGTTTGTGTTTTAACATGTAAAAATTCGGCAAAAAATTAAAGTACATTATAGTTATTATTACTATAATTATATTATTTTCAAATGTAGTCTTATTATTTGTAAACTTATTTATAGATAATATTTTTACTCGTCCTAATATGTTTACAGCTTTGATTTACGATGTATTAGGAGACTTCAATAGTTGTGAACTTGAAATTACAAAGTCTGAAAAATAATTACGTTTGGATTAGTATTTATGATAAATAGTTTAATAAAAAATATAGTGAGGCTATCATTCGTTTGACTGAATGCCAGAAAAGGAAAACATTAAAAATGATGACTTATTTATAATATAATTTATTTTCTACTATTTTATCCTTAAATTTCTTATAAAGAAATATGTACAATATATTACTATTAATTTAGATGTATAAATTTCGGTATCTTGTTTATGCTTCAATTATCTATTGGGTTTGTGCTTTGACATGTATAAGTTTAATAAAAAATTTAAAATACATTATCGTTTATTATTACTATAATATAAGTATAATTATTTTGAAAATTGTATTCCTGTCTTTTGTAAAGATGTATATTTTGCTCGTCATGTTACGTCTATAGGTTTGATTAATGATTTATAGGTTTGATTTATGATGTATAGAAAATTTCAATAGTTTTTGAGTTAAAATTAAATCTATTCTTTTATTAGTAAATTTTAATGTACATGTACCCTTTAATTATTTTAAGTTACTTGTTGTAAAGTCGTTGATAGTGAATAACCTTTGGAATATTTACACTAAATAGTGAAATTTTGAATTTAAGAAAAAAAAAGAATAAGGAGTTCTCACGGCAGGAGACTTTATTCGCTTCCCCTGCTTATTCCCTTTCATTTAATTTCACTTTATTTTTACTAAAATAGTAATATTCTAAAGAATTAAAGGAGTCCGACTTCTAAGTACACGCTAGTTTCCTACTTTGACTTTGCTAATATTTGTTTTACATACATGGTATATTATATAGTTAAATAAGGAAAAAGATAATATAAAAAATTAAGGTAATTTTGAAGTCTTAAATATTAGAAAAATAGTTAAATGACTATTCTGTCTAGTGTGTACTCTATTTTTAAAGGTTAAAAAGGGTGAACGATATTTCGCTAACGGCCTTCGTGCTTTTAATATAGATAGATAGATAGATAGATAGATAGATAGATATGAAATATTGTGATGGAGAAATACTTTATTAGAATTTGATTGTTTGTTAGTAGTTTTATTATAGTTTGCTTTGTTTTTGGAGCTACATCATACAAGATATTTCATTGGTATTTTAATTTATTCACGGCAATTGTGCCTGTCTCCATGAATAATTTATCGTTATTGTAGTTTTTTCATGATGTTTTGGTCAATTATTGTTGAGTTTATTTATATTCATGTTGTATTTCTATGTTCTAATGTTCCTTACCAGAATGCCAATCGACTTCCTTGAAACCCATTTATGGATAAAGTATGAAGATTTGTGCATTTTTCTTGTTCTATATCAACTAAATTTAAAAAATGAATTATCTTACCGCGCGAAGTGCGGATCAATTAACTAGTAGTATTAAATAAGAGTAGGCAAGAGATGAGGAGAGGACTTTTCTTCTTATTTCAAGTATTTTATCCATGAGCCAGAAATGCTTTATTTATAGTTACAAAGCTTCATCCTCGAAAACAAGAATAAAGTTACATATTAAATAGATGCATATAAATATAAGTTATTCATGTATGTGATGTAAAAATTAAATGGACAGCCACTTTAGTTCCTTGTATTCATAACATTTCATAAATTTTGTATTTGTATTTCAGATTTTCAAATTTTGAAAAAGATTTTTTTTTTCCGCATTGGAGCTCCAATTAATTCGATTCATGTTGAGTAATGCTTATTAAAAGCTGAAACGCTCCATATTTAAGGCGGCAAGTAAAAAGAAAAAAGAAATTCAAACTTTGAAAGAAAAAAAAATGAAAAATAATATTTTATAATTGGTAGATGTGGGGTCTATTCGATTAAGAAAGGAAGTGTTCCTTACAACCAGAAATCAAGAATCAAACCCGATTCTTTCGCTATATTTGAAGTCAGCCCTAGGCCAACTATGGCACTGAGCAAAGCTGAAAAACTACCCCAAGAAATCATAGTTGACATACTATCCCGGCTTCCTGCTAAGTCCATAGGTCAATTCAGGTGTATATCAAAGCAGTGGTGTTCTCTTCTGTCAGACCCCCAATTCATCTCAGCTCAGCTCACTATCAATTCCCACAAAGAAGAAGAAAACCTCATTCTTGTCTCTGATTCTCACTCTCTTCACACTATCACTTTTAACCACAACCCCCAAAATGGAACAATTGATGCCATTTCAAGAAAGCTTAGTTTTCAGCAACTTGAAGACAATTGGGTAAGTGTTGCTGGCTCATGTAATGGCTTCGTCTTAGTGGTTAATGACGAGGAAATCAAATTTTTGATCAACCCCACAACCTTAGGGTACTTTGAAATTCCACAATTTGATTTGGCTCTTCCTGTGCCTGGTAGCTTTAGCATGTATGGTTTAGGCTATGATGTTGTTAGTGGTGATTATAAGGTGGTTACTCTTTCTTATTACGATACGGATAATGAATATGAGCCAGATATAGATTATACTTTTGTGGATGTTTACTATGTGAGAAAGGATATTTGGAGGAGACTTGAGAGTTCTCCTTATGATCATGTAGTTCCTCAACTTGCTTCTGGTGTTTTGGTAAATGGGGCTTTGCATTGGTTAGCTAGTAGTAAAACCTCCGGTTATTCATCAGTAATTGTTGCTTTCGATTTAAGTGATGATAAATTCTTGGAGGTGCCAGCACCAAGTACTCTTGATAAAGGTAATTTTGTGTTTAATAAGCTTGTGGCTCTTAGAGGGTGTCTTTGTATGTTCACTAATACAGATGAGGACGAAATTGATGTTTGGATGATGAAAGACTATGGGGTTGAGGAGTCTTGGACCAAATTTGTAGTTAAAGGACCGGATTCGGTGACTGATCTGATACCATTGTGTTTAATGAGTGAGGATGATGTTTTACTAGATGCGGATGGAGAGTTGATTGTCTACAGTATGAGAGAGGATCGGTGGAGGAATATGATGGTTGATGGGATTCCTACCATGTGTGAGAACGCAGGAACTGCAATCTTTAGGGAGAGTCTTGTTTCTCCTACGTTTGGCTAGAAGCTCGTTACTCTTTTTCTTGATGCAATATTTTGAGATGATGTTGTGTGCAGGTATTACATGAATTTTTTTCACAAGTTCTTATTCAGTTTTTATTATACCTTGTACTGTTAATTTGGCCCTATATTTGATTCTATAAGATGAATTGTATTGACACGGTAATTCTTTGGTCCTCATAGAGTTTAGTGGTGGTTATTCGCCCTTCCTGAAGAAAATATATAGTGATTAATTGTATTACATGAAAAGGAAAAACTAGGCTTAGTGGCTTGCCTCAATTCAACGTTACAGATTAGTGGTGCTTTAAAGGAAAAAAGAATAATTCAAGTTTGAGTATATGCATTCTAGCATGGAATAGTTTTAGATGTTTAGAGTCTTCTTTGAATCATGAGTAAATCTCAAATAAACTCATTTAGAATAATTGCTCGCCACTTCTGTGCATAGCAATTTTAAGCAACCTGAGGATAAAACTGGCTGCTATCTAGCTGCTCTGAAGTCTGAACTACAAGAAAAACAGTGATTATGTTGTGTACCTCCTTTATTGTATCAGTCTTCAATCTCGGAGATAGTCCAAATGCCGTTGTCCTTTCTAAATGAAAGGAATCATTCAAGGTCGTGATGCAGGACATAACTTACAGTCACCGGCTTTCATCGTGCCACCAGGCATTTGATTAAGACATTGCACAATGATCTGAACACTTTGTCGCATCTCTTCGATACAAATGTAGTAACACCCAATTGTGTCGTCTTTCCAGGTCTTGCCGGTGTTATATGTAGGTCGTCATGTACCTCGAGATGGCCGTCTCCTCCCCCCCCTTCCAGTAGGAACCGGCTCCCCTGTCTCCGCTCCACTGCATTCCTGCCCGTCCTCTAGGCGCCCCCAACTAGAGATGAAGTTCGAGAACCATAAACAACTCAGTTGAGAGCTCCCTGACTGGTTCAAGCAAAGGTCATGATTGATAGGCCATTTCCTCCCAATCTATCTTTCGATTCAAGATCCATGACTACAAAGACTTTGGAGATAGATAGATATTGGGTAGTACTTATAGCTTAAGAAGGCAACCTGCTGGTTACTGGTTCAGCTTATTTACCATCTTCACTAAGAACATAAGATGAAAAATTTCTAAGAAGCACATATGAACTCTTGATGGAAAAAAATGTTACGTTTTGGTTGTTATTTATTTGTTTGTCCTATTTTTCTTATGGATTATACCACTATTTTCTTTGCCTAGTAGTAACTATTTTAGCAGTATTATGAAGGATGCAACGTGCCTTGTAAGTTTTAAGGAACATTGCTGGTTTTCATATTTATTCTTTATTTTCTCAAGTTTTCTGTCCTGTTATAAAATATAATCTATGGACAGGCTAAAGAATCTTCCCACCTCCCTGGTGGGGCTCCCCTTCCAAAAATGGAAAAGAATTGATTTCATTAATTGAAGAATAGATTTTATAGGGTACAGACTACAGAGTAGCATTTTATGGATTTACATCTTCCTGTAATGCAATTAATGCCAAATTGACACTGCTCTGATGCTTGCACAGGAATTAGTCTACTTCTCTGACATTTTCCCGGTGCCTATGAAATGGAATGTCAAGAGAACTGCATGTTTTTAAGGAGGCATGGATCTCTCTATATTTAAAGCCCAATGGTGCTACTCGGTAAACTATGATAGGAGAGTTTTCGATGGAGACTTGCACTTTGATTTGTATATTGCTGTTATGTAAAGACAACTGTTGCAGAGCTAGGAGAAAGGGGACCTTTTGAGCAAACCCTCTAATGTGATTTTGTTTGTTAGAGAGTTTATATCTCAGTTGAGTTTCTCAACTTTCAGGTGAATAGATCATAGATGGTCTGACTAACTATTCTACTTGCCCATATAACAAGAGGGTTTACTTTAAGTTTGCATAATATTCTAGCTTTGCCTTTGTTTACCCTTAAAATTGGATAACAATTAAACTTATAATGTGGTTTTAAGGACACATGATTTCACCTAATACCAATTGATAAATGTAAAGACTAGTAATAGAAATTAACAATAAGATAAGGCAAACAATGTTTGAACGGAATTCAGCCCTCAAGTTTGAATACCCTCGAACTGATCGATGCAAGAACAGTTAAAAATATAACAATCTGATGAACAAGAATATAAGCTAGAAAGTATTGTATTGCTTTGATATGCATGAATATAAGGTGTTTACAAAATGATTAGAGCCCTCTTTATATAGTAGAGTAAATCTCATGATTAGCCTAAACAGTTGCCTTTGATTTGATCTGTTCGGGGATTTTCCCCGTGATCTTCGACCACTCACGGATATCCCGCTTTTCCGTTATTGCGCTTCGCTCGAAGTCTGTCGTATTTGGTCTCGATCGCTTGGCCTCGATCTCGACAGGCACCTCGATTCTCGAACTCGATACCTTGTCTTCGTGCTCTAGTCTGATCCACTGCGAGGTTGGCCTTCGATGCAATTCTCTGGTTTCAATCAAATAGTAAAATCGGATAGGCTCGGTTTTAACTGTATACAACCTTCTATTAGCATACAGGAAAAACTGAACTTATACTGTCCTGTTACATCTCGCGTTTTCGTACGTTAAAAGTTTCATCTTCGGTTAATTGACGTAGACTCGGGGATGAGCTCATTTTGACGTTAACGTATTTACGTTATTTATAACAAGCGATAAATAAGTGTCCTGAAGAATAAAGGGTACACGAATTAAAGAAAATGAGTTTCGTTGAAAGTGGCCAATTTGGAATAAAATACGGGTCGAGCGATAATACCCGATAATTATGAACTAGTACCATGCAAGGTACCATATGACCACGGTAGTATAATATATAAAGTAAATATGAAGTATTTTAAAAATAAATAGAATTTTAAGTAATTTGTGGTAATTTTTAAATCATGCGGGTAATTAATTAATTACCGGATAACAGGACATTACCCAGTTAACTAATAAGTGAATAAAGATTTCTAATCTTTCACCCCGTCTCTACGTGGCACAAGGCCACTAATTAAGAGAAATGACTCATTGAATAAAGGTATAGGTGTCTAAGTCTAAAGTGACTTAATAGATAAGTCTTGAAAGGAACTTGATTTAATCCTTTCTGAAAGTAAGGAATTAGAAACAGAAGCTTCAACCAAATCCAACAAAAACGTTGGAAGAAAGCTAAGAATTTCGTTCCAATTACATTCATTCAAATAATTCAAGTCAAGAAGTTCGTTCCAATTACATTCATTCAAATAATTCAAGTCAAGAAGTTCGTTCCAATTACATCTCATTCTGTCAAGAATTTCGTTCCAATTACATCTTATTCTATTAAGAATTTCGTTCCAATTACATCTTATTCTATTAAGAATTTCGTTCCAATTTCAAATTCAAAGTATAAATTCCGTTCAAGAACTTCGCAGAAGCAAATTTGTTGAAATAATTCAAGAAACAGGTATGTTAAGGTCATCCCTTCTTTCTTTTGGCATGGTCCATATGATACTGAAGAAATGAGCAAACACACAGTTTTCATAAATTATTCTATTCATAAAATTATTAAGGGTGTCTATATTCTTGATTCCCCATGAAAATTATTATTATTTTCTATTCATGGGTCTCAGAATAATACGCAGTTGGAAAAGTTTATCCGGAAGGAATATTGAGATTATTACGTATTTTTCATGCATTTCATACATGTGCATTGACCCATAACCAGATGACGTTATATACGCGTATATATGTAAATATATGTATATGGGATATGGGAAAAAGGTTACAGCGTTATATACGTACCACCACCTGATTTGCTGGTATATGTTGATGATGTTGCCCACAATGCCGAGATGATATGATGGGATGCCCTCAGTGGCTTAATGATATTATGTACACCCATACCTATGCATGACACGACATTTATACGCACGTGCATGACATTATAAACGTTTCAGAATTTACAAAGTTATTCAGATTTAAAGATGTGTTTTTGTATTCCATGTTTCACTATGTCTTTTACGTACTAATTTTCATGCCTTACATACTCAGTACATTTTTCATGCTGACACCCTATTTCACGGGGCTTTGCGTTTCATGCCCGCGGGTGCAGGTAGGCAAGCTGACGGTCCCCTCCTTAGGATCCCCGATCAGCGAGAGNTATATATGGGTATGACGTGGCTCAGTCGCGTCTTTGTACAACTATGTTTTCATTAGAGGTTTGTAGACAGTATGTCTAGTTGAGTTGTATGTGGCCTTGACGGCTTTCAGTTTTGGATGTATAGTTGTCTATAACAGCTTTGCCGGCTCGCCCACTGTATTCTGCCTATATACGTACATATGCCTTGAAGACAGGTTTCCTTCTTGTATGTTACTTTCGTAACTCAGCAGATGTTATTCAGACTCGTATCTTAGATGCATGCTTAGGAGTGTTTGACAGGTAGGACTCAGGCACCCATCGCGACCCATCGATTTGGGTCGTGACATGTCCTTTCAGTATCTGGCTGGAAATATAGTACTAATCTGCCTATTAGTGTCACAACTAAAATATGGTCGATCAACTAAAGCTGGCAAAATCTATCGAGTCAAAAGTTGCTATTCAATTAGTCGATCAACTAATGACTTCCAATGATAGAAGATGAACATAAAGTAAATGAAGTTACCTACATTG